ATGCATATGCACACACACACCACAAAGACAACCAAATCAACACTTACAAGCCCATGGCCTGCTAAAGCATTAACTGAAAGCATCCTCACTGAGACAAAAACATCTATTAAGACAGGAAAGTTTCATTGCTCTACACCATCGATGCCATCCAATAGAAATGTCACAGGAGTCACAGCTATTGGCCGCAAATAACATTTAAATTTTCTAGCAGCAGCATTAAAACAGTAAAGAGAAACAGATGAGTTTCACTTTAATAATTTATTTTATTGCCCTGGATATATTAAAAATGTTGTCAGGTCAAACTATAATCAATATAAGAACTATGAGTAAGATTTTTGAATTCTTTTCTTTCTAAGTCTTTGAAATCCAGTGCATATCACATCTGACACTTCCAGCTCATGTCAAATGGAGCAGCCACATTTCCAGCGCTCAGTAGCTCTGCGTGGCCAGCGGCTGCCATAGTGGAAACGGACATGTTAAATGTCCCCAGCACATTTACGAGGTATTCATCTGGGTTGAAGCCTATGCATGGTCACCACATCTGCCCAGCTGTGTCTAGGGTTCCACTTTAAGGCTCCTGCCAGCGTCCAGTTGCAAGGGGCTCTGCTATCATGGATGAGTTTTGTCTGCAGCAGGGACTCTTCCTCCACGATGACAGTGGACTGCATAGTGTCAGGAAGTCGGGGGTGGCCCTGGTGCTCAGGTCCAAAGATGCCTCTAGAAGAGGTGACCTCAAGAGCCTAGAGAACCGAGCAGTGAGTTTAAAGTCATGCTAAGAGAAGCAGAAACAGGGTTGCTATATTACTGGTCATTTATGGTGACTGATTTCCCATTCTCGATCTGGCATGGAAGGAGCTTAGAACTCCTTGCTCCTGTCCATACAGCAAGAAAATAAAACAGCTGAATAATCTGAAAATCAACCACTCTTCTCAGATGTACGAGGTCACAGCACAGACCTCCACCCCCAAACTAGAGAGCGAAAGGTAGATGGGAAGATTCACAGTACCCAAAAGCGAAACCCATGGTGAAATTCAGGAACAGGTTCCGGGGGGAAAACAAAAACGGCAAAGGACAGTTCTGGAGGCCCTGTGTGGACCTGTCTCAGAGTTAAGAGCGCCAGGAACCAGTCCTGGGGGGTCCCCACACTTTGCAGGGTTTTACCTCCTAGGTCCTCCCAGGTTCTCACAATAAAGATCAGGAAAAAATTACTAAGCAGAGTCTGATTAACCGGAGACTCACTGTGTACAATTAATCTTCCCTGTGCCTCACTTATAGAATTGGGGTAACAGCCTTGACCCATTACGATGGTCATCCACTGTTGCTAAGCAAGGAGAGACATGGACCTTTGGATCCTGGTAAACTTGCAGTCCCCGGATAGCCGCAAGATTCCCAGCTGAGCAGCTTTGGGGGATGTTTGTGTAGCTGACCCCAAAGCCCGTGTTCTCTACCCCACCATCATGCCGGCTCCCCGTGTAACCTCCTCACCGGCGTCCATACTGCTGTGTGGCCCTCTCCCACAGGGACACGGACCGTCCCATGGATGGGACATAGCTGGCATCTGAGGCCAGGTCACAAAAGACCTGCAGTTCCTCTGCCCTGGCATGGAGCCCCCACCGTGGGCTGAGTGGCTGCTATACTGTGAGAATGCGCAAGCCCATTCAGAGAGGAGGCCTGGCCTCCTGCTGATGACAGGACCAGTTTCCTCAGGGTATAAGCTGCCACCTTGGAGGCACAGCAAACTTCCAGAGGATAAGGCCCTGGCCAGTTGTGGTTTTTTTGTTTTGTTTTGTTTTTTCTATTTAACCACAGATTGAGCAGAGGCCTTTGCACTGAACTACATCTCCAGCTCTTTTTTATTTTATATTTTGAGATAGGGTTTTACGAAGCATGTAAGCTGTCTGGAGTGGACTCAAACTTTCCATCCTCCTGCTTCAGCCTCCCAGAGTGATGGGATTATAGGCATGTACTACCATGCCCAGCCTTGGCCGGCTTCTGGATCAACCCCATGAGATACCCTGAATGAGACTCACCCAGCAAAGTACTTCCTGAACACCTGACCGACAGGAACTGTAAGATGATAAGTGTTTGAGAATTTTAGAGTCATTTGTCCCAAAGCAACAGACAAGCGACCCACAGCACTTCTCTTTTCTAAGTCCCAACCCGAGCATATTCTGACGAGAGTATTTTCTCCCACATGCTTTGGTTTGAACACATTTCCTGTGGTGTCAGAGTCAGACATAGCTTTTCCTGAATTGGTGTTTTCAAAGTATGAGTTCTAAATGACAGTGGCTGTAGAAGAAAAATAAGTGAGCCTGTTGGAAGCACGCTGGGAACACCACGTTTATCTCTCTGAGGGTTTAGGCTTTGCTCTGGAATGGATAAGAAGTGTTTACATAGAGGATTTACTCTGCACCACACACACACACACACACACACACACACACACACACACATGCGCGCACACACATGGACTTCGAGTCTCTGTATTCTGCAGGGATACAAAAGTGTGGTCCTTTTCAGAGACAGAGTTGTCATCACGGCATCGTGTGGAATCCAAGGGTCTCAGTGAGCAGGCAGGAAGCAGGAAGGATCCGAGAAGGATGAGGAAGCAGCAGGATGTGCCATCCAGTGGACAGGAAAAGGAAGGCGCTGATGAGAAGACAGAAGAATGGTCTGAGCTCCCCAGTCACTGCCAAGTGTGGACGGAGCGCCAGGCCTTCTGAGCTGCTAGCCTGGATGGGCAGCTTTTCCACTGAGGATTCTCCTGCTCAGCCCTGTCCCCCTGCCTGCAGACCCAGCCCCTGTGCAGGGGGAGGGGGATTTCCATAGAGTTCTCAATTGAGTCCTGATGACTGTATCCCGCTTCCTTGCACATAGGTGATGGGGTCAAAAGGTGCAGTGAGTTTTAAAATTTTTAAATATTCATTATAGTAAAGTACACGTTGCCATGAATCCCCCTCAGAGTATTCCCGCTCTGTTCAAGCACACTCATGCACAGGGTGTGATGGCTGTAAATGTAGGCCAGTGTGAATGCCCTAGGTTCAATCCCCAGTAGAGTGTTCAAAAACATTGTGTCCTTTGCTTCCCTGATACATATTTACCTCTGTTTCCATTCATTCATGCAAATATATATAGAGAGAGATAGATGGATAGATACATGCATACATACATAATTGGCTAAATGCCTGTTTCAGCCCAAAGAGGCAGGCGGGAAGGCAGGGACGCTTCCCACCCGAGCAGGCCCAACCCCTTCCTACACCCACATGTCAACACACAGCAAACCTCCCCTGGATCTCCCCAAGGTATCATTTCACTTTTATTATCTGTGTCTTTCATTCATGTCTGAATCTTCTGCCAGTCTATAAGCTTCACCAGAGAAGGGACCTCTTCTAGTTTTTCATATTCAACAGTTATTAAATGAAGAAAATAAATTTTTAAGGGGACCTGTCTGGCTGAATCAGGAATCCATTAGAACTGAAGTTCTAAAGGGAATTAAGGAGCCGTGGATATAGCTCAGCGGCACAAGCACTCGCCCGGCAGGCACAAGGTCCTGAGTTCGATTCCCAGTACCAAAAAAAGGGGGGGGGGGAATTAAATGATGCCCAAATGTCCCATTCCTTGTTTTCAGCTGAGATCTGTGTGTAAGTGTGTGGGGAGTGCTGTCCCTACTCCCTGGCATATTTGTTGAAGGATTCCAAAAGAGGCAGGAGAATCACAATTCAAGCCCCACCTGGGCAATGTAACAGACCCCTGTCTCAAAGTAAAAGATAAAGATAGCTGAGCTTCGTGGTGCAGGCCTCTAACGCCAACACTCTGGAAGGCTCAGGCAGGCGGGAGGGAAGATCGCAAGTTCAAGCCCAGCCTGGGCAGCTTGGTGACTAAGCCAGGCCCTATCTTAAAAAATAAAAGATCTGGAGATGCAGCTCAGTGCAAAGGGTCTGAGTTCAATCCTCAGTATCACCAAAATTAAGTTAAATTAAAAATTAACTAATTAATGAAAATAAAAAAAGTTCTGGATGGAGCTCAGTGTGACCGCCCTGGGTTCAATTTCCAATACTGCCCAAAACAATGACAAAATAACTAACTAAATAAACAGCCTGGGATGTAACTCAGTGGTAAGGCACCCCTGAGTTCGAGCCCCGGGATTGCCAAAATAAAATAAACAAATAAATAAATCATTTTAAAATAGAAAAGGACTGGTGACATTGCTAGATGGTTACAGCGCTCCCGGGTTCCTTACCACACCCTCACCCCCTACCACCCCACCCCTCCGCACCGCCAAAATTAAATGGAACAGAAAAGGGATGAGGGTGTAACTCAGTGGTTAGAGCGCCCCTGGGTTCAATCCCTGGGACGGCAACAAAACAAAACAACCAAAAAAGGCTCAGAAGGGGACGCGGGCTGGGTCGCAGTGTCCTCGGCAGCCCCGATCGCCGGGCACGGGAGGGAAACCGCCCTGGGCACTGGAGAAGATCAAGCTTGGGCCGGGGGACCGAGCCCAGGCCCAGGACACTGCGCAGGGCATCAGGCCCTCCCCGCCCTCGGGGAACCCGGGACCCAGGCTAGCCAGGGGATCCCCGCGGCCCCAAGCAGGAGGCAGCAGCGGCGCGCGCAGAGCGGGCGGGGCGCGGCGGCTGAGCTCCGCTCCGCGAATCCGGCCCGGGT